ATGCCCTCTTGTCGTTTTGCAGTCACGCAAGCTTTTCGAAGCTCACTTGCGGGACAATCAATATTACATGCATTAATCCCCGCTTCGTAACAATAAGAGTACACCAACTATATTCATTGATTTTCTCGTCGATCCATCAAATGTGAAATGTGAAGAGTAATTTTTAGGCGCCAATTTTAGAGCCCTTCCACCGCATGGATAACGCCTCGTCTACGATGCCAACTCGAGTGAGGGGAGGTGCGTATTGTCTTAGGAGAAATACGAGTTTACTCTGGCTTCTTCGAGACTTAGATATATGCGCCACGATAGGCTTGGAGGCCGATGATGTTCGCTTTGGCCGCGGTAGTTGTCACTGTCAAGAGGCGCAGATGATGCGTCGTTGCACCCAAACATAGACGTCAGACCCTGGGGTTTGGCAGAGCTGGTCGACGTCTGGAAGCCTCCTCGCTGTGTGCTGGAGGGAAAGCGAGGTTCAGACACCTCAGCTAAAGAATGGGGTCCAACTTGAAACAATGGAACGAATGACAGAACGGTCCTAACTGAAGGCTACAACCCGCCTGCGTGGGTGATAGTGGGCGCTAAATCATGTCACCCCTTTCCACACGGCAACCAAATTCCTCCGAAATCATCAAGAGTTTCACTCGGCCGCCCTCTCACATTGCACACTGCTGTTATACATGCTGCTGAATAATTTCGAACACTATATCGATTTGATCGTGAAGCTCGATGCCGAATAGAAGTTGCAAAAAAGGAATACGAAACTGTCTCAGCGAACAGGTTTGTATGGATACCACTCTAGTTATGATACCACTCTAGTTATATTGCTAAATAAGGGTGGGCTTCCTATCTCCATCTGCCCCGTCGGAAAATGATTGGTGAATTCAGGTGCTACCTAGGCTGGTGGGACCGTTTCGAGGAAATCTAAGATGACTTTGAAATACCTAGAAGAAGGCGCAATCAGAATCTTGACAGTCGAAAAGAGTTGAAACCATATTAATACTTCTCTGGTTCCTCGAACATCGCAAGGTGTGTGCTATTCTGGAGCTCTACCCATTTGACCTTGGGAATATTCGTGAAAAATGGAAGCACCGCACATTCCTGTGACTCATCCAATGGAGTAGAAATGAGCATCGTGGGGTACGGAATCCGATGAAGGATATCGACAATAGACCAGGATCTCAATGTGCCAATCACGTTAAATTTGGCTGGTCCCATCCTTTAGGCAGGAGCTTGTATCAGTGCGATACAGTTGTGCAGATTGACGGAAGTAGAACTCACATAGCGTTAGAAACAGTGGGATGGTTGCCTGTCGCGACCACAGAGGTGACCAATTCCTGCGGCCATGGGTCCAACGTACAGAAATGCTTCTTATTGAACTGCATGCACCCTTGAATGTATTCTGGCGCATCTGTTGTACCATCTGCTTCATGCTTGCGTATCATTTCTGCGAAATCTTTTGGGAATTGATCGAGCAAATAGTTGGTACCGCGTGAAGCAAGCTCGATGGAGGCCGGGGAATCGGCAATAATCAAACGCTTCAAGCCATTTGGGGTTCGTGTCGCTGCGTATTGGCCTGCGAGCATTCCTAAAAAATGGTTCAGAACATGATATAGGACGTGGAATACTGTCGCACCTCCCCATGAGTGTCCAAGAAGATCGAAATCGCAGTCTATACAGAGGGCCTTGAGGAGGTTATCGAGTTCATCCATAAAAAGCTTGGGTGTCCAGAAATCTTTGGGGACACCTGGGCAGAGTGAAGATGCGCCGTTCCCAAGTTGGTCGTAGAATATGACAGGTCTCCTTGGAAAATATATTGGATGAGCTTTTGTTCAAATACGAAGAATTAGAAGCATACCCGCCCCGAGTGTAGATTTCCTTGTGAGGCCTCAAATTTTCAGTTAGAGAATATTAATTTCCGTAGGAAAGAAAAGGGTCCTACAGCATGTAGTCGTGGGTCATGCCTGGACCTCCATGCATTGCCACCAGTGGACGATGCTGAGCGTTCTTCAAGTCGCCGCAGATCATGTACCATGTCTGGTAGATTTCACAGCCCACTTTGAAGTCGGCTTTTCCCGTAGTTTCTGAAGACATGATTTCCCGCACGTAGAGCAACTACTGGTGGTACTATTCCCAAGTTGATAAGATTTTTATGCGAGGACGAGATGAACTGGAAGTATGAATAGTTAGTGAACGCGGCCTGTAGGACTTGTATTTATACCGTTCTGATTACGAGTCGCACCTAAGACTCAGCAGTTTATAAATAGATAGGAGACCTCTTTAAGTCCGTTTATTTTACCAACCTAAGAGGTCACTCACCCTCCGAGGACTATGGGAGGTAAACGACATCCGTTCAGGATCATATCGAGCAACTCTGAAAGCAATCTGAATGCTGCAGGTAGCCAGGCTGCAGTTTGGCCTCCGCATTTCGATGTTCAACTTCATGGTGATGCAGGTAGATGCAGGTTCATGCAGTTTGATGTTCATTGCGCCTCATGGTGATAGATTCTTTATTCAAATACCTCAGACATGGTAATTAAAGTCTCTATTTCGCACTTCCTTGCGTCTACTAAGCTTCTTTCCCTTACAATTAGGTGTAAGCATTGTGTCTTAACGGACTGGTCTACTAATGTCAGTGCCATCGTTGGTTGTACTTAACCAGAAGTTCGCTGGTGAGGCGCCGGGCTTTATCTGCGTACATTTTTGGTTGCAAATCCCCCGCCCTCGCCGTACCCAGCCACCCAGTCCCGGTCCATCCTGATGGGCAGTCGTCAGTAGCGATATCACGAATAACCCGAACGCCGCAGGTGGAAGTGCCCTGGTAGCTTCTCCGGACTCCACCTGCTTGCAGCACTGTGAAGGCACAAACACTGCTGGGACCCCTTCGCCTGCAGCTTACCCAGCGCGCCTGCTAGTGGTTTTACCCTCACAAACGGCAAGGATGCACAGGCTCTCAATGGCAAGTTTGCTATGCCTACAGCCTCTCTTCTTGCACTGTCAATGACCTCGCATGATAATCTACTCGTATAGGAACTGCAGTTACCTAGATCGACTGACAAGTATCGGAGTCTGCTTACAAGAGACAAGTGCAGACCCGCCTTGGCCGGTTGTGGGTATTCCTGTAGTGCACTTGAATATTTGGGGTCTTTCTCAGCCCTGAAGTTTCTGTGAGTGAACACGAATTAGATCATAAGCTTGCTAAAATTCCTGCCGTGTAGTAACCCTCGGTTTGGTCTGGTCGTTGCAGATCTCAGCCTCTTTTCCCTGGGTTGCAACATCCATCAATTTCACTGCGCCCTATTTTTGGTTATCATTAAACGCCATTACTGACCATCGCGATCAGCGCGCGCTTATAAATTTCCGCTCTAGAATATCTAAAGTGCTCGGTTCGAATTACGGACACCCCTACATCGGAGTCGCCACGGTGCGCATTGACTCTTCATCCATATATATTCAGCACTACTCGATGCATTACCAGGATGTGGCGTGATGAGGTGAAAACTCGCGTTTCGCTGATTTTAGCACATCTACAAGGATTTAATTGACGCATTCATCCTTATCCACCAGAATGCCGTTGACATAAGCTTCTGGCTCATCAGACTCGCAATGCTTCTTATCCGATGAATTCACATGAAGGTATTCAAACCCCCCTTTCAATGCTGTGAACTCTTAAGCCAAGTTTTTGTCACCCCAGCGTAGCGTTTTTGTACTCTGACAAGCATGTCAACTGATGACTCGGATACGGCGAAGGTCTACGCTCCTATAGCCACATACTACTCTGGCGCGAAAAATCGATGTTCGGTTTGGGCTGCTAGGTTGGACCTAGTCAGTTTATGGCTTTGCTTGGAGGTTCGAGTCGTGCGAAAAGAGGTGCATTGCACCGAACATGGACCCTCAGCGACGTCTGGAAGCCGTCTCGCTATGTACAGAGGGAAACCGAGATACAGACACCTAAGCTAAAGGACAGAGGTCCAACTTGAAACAATGGAACCAAAGGCAGAACGGTGCTAACTGAAGGCTACAACCCGCCCGCGTGGGTGATAAGCAGTGGGCGCTAAATCATGTCACCCCATCTATTTTTGACGGAGAATCAAACTTCAAGCTGAGATTGTAATATTGAATCACTGCCAGTGATCTTGCTCCCTTTCCTTGCCCTCTTCATCCCCTGCTTTGTACCTTTGGATATGCATAATCTGACTGTTCCTTCTGCCGCAACTTACTTTTTCCTGTGAGAGAGGCGAACACAAGGAATCTACTATGAAGAGCCCCAATTTGTTCCTTGAATGCATCTGTTATCAACGTTGGCACCTTGTTGTCGTTGAACGATGAGCACCCATCCTTCTTATATTTTCGGTCAGTGAATAGGGTGGGTTCCCTATAGGGCTCGTACCCGAAGTACGGTGAGTAATCCGTTCTGTCATTCAAAGACCTACCAACTTGTAGTTGCTCCTATCGATCCCGCGCCAACGCAGCGTAATGAGTGGCCCTCGTCGCAGTTCGTATTGTGTTGCTCAGGAAGAATGGGCCGCTGCCCCCCTCGCAGCATTTCAAAACCTTACCCCTTTGTTCTCCAAGTATGGTAGTCACTTTAAATGGATGCATTGCTTCTTGTTGAGCAATGTCACATTCGGATGACCTACGAGCGTCCACCTGGACGTCCGACCCGGGTTTCTTCGCGATACTGGAATCTATCGTAGAGGGAATGTTCACTTCGCATTATCTTCTTTTATTTTCGTTCCCTTCGCTGATTTCCTTTCCTTTCCAGAACTTAATCTCGTCCCGTGTTCCTCTCAGGCTTGATCAGAGGTAGATAATTCGCACCCTTTTCCGAAGAGGCTTCTGCCAGTAGTCCTCAATGCGAACCATTTTCTGTTGACTCTCGTCGCTCGCGTTGATTGAGTGATGTTGGCAAAGGCTTGCACTTTTGTAAAATGTGTGTATTTGCTCCCGAAGAATACGAGTGCATGAAAATAGTCAGCTCCTATCGTAAATATCAAAAAAACAACCATCGACGGGACTCGAACCCGCAACCTCTGCCTCATCAACGTCATTTCGCCATAGGAAAGCAACGCACTACCATTGTGCAACGATGGCGCAACTATTAAGTTTCTTGTCTATTCACCCTGGTTCGTAAATCTTTAGCTTAGCTTCAGTGCTACACTAGGAAATCAATGTGACGCTACGTATTGCACTCCAACGCTGCCTACAATCGTTACTACTTGTACAATTGTAATTGTTTCGGTCCTTCATCTCCACAAACCGGAAAAACTTGTGCGGGTGTTCCTTGGCATGATTTTGGTAAATGTTTCCGTTCGTTTGAATTACCCTTATACATTAACGAATTCAACTCGGACAAACAAAGAAGCCCAAACCACCTATATCAGGAGTAAAATATCGATATGGAACGTAGATATGTCCTTGAAATCCTAATAGCATGAAGAACCTGAGATGGGTCATCAGATATGGGACACAGAGAAGGGGGTCATATTCTCCGAGCTGTGGACAGCGAGAGATTGACGCCTCTAGCTCGATAAGATTCAGTAAGCGAGACATCGAGAGTATTGTCGTAATAGTGTAGATCCTCGATGCGTAAAAGGAACGTCACATCAACGTGAATATCGCGTATAGAGGATACGGGTGCCTTCCGAGTCGCTGAACTAAGGGGTTCGCTCGTTGCTTGACCTGAACCTTGTCCTATCAGCAGGGGTGTTCTAGCGTCGACCAATTTGAGTAAAGTATTCCACCCAAATCCCTGCGCCCCCGAGTATGTGAAGCTCTCGAGCTCTGGGAGGTGGCATGTAAGGTTATTGGCGGCGGCGGATTCAGGGTTGCACATCTCCAACATCTTGTCCGTTAATGGGGCGTGCCTAATTGTACGGACCACAGGCATAACGAGCGTCAGCGTTTTGAGGGCGGGCGTGACCGCTATCAGCGCCAAGAGAGCATCTTCGCGGATGGAAGCCTGCGATACGCATAACGTCTCCATGGAGGACCCAGAACGCGTGATGAGTGCCACGATTTCAGCCGCTGGGATCGAAAGGAGGCCTTCGCCGGTGTAGGACAGGGTGTGTAGCTTGGGCGTTGAAATTTTGTTAAAGAAGCCGTGCAGTTCGGTGCCTTTGTCATTGATAACGACCACCTCTTCCAACGATGGAAGAAGGATACAGGTGTCTGGCAGGGTGTGCCTGTCATCGCCGCCTAGTATCCGCCGTAGCGTGAGATGGACAACCGCGGTCGTTTCTTGCAGCATCCCTAAGGTTTCGTCGACATAGAACGACTCCAGGTCGAGGGTCGTCACCACCTCCCACTGGAATACGATGGACCGGAGGTAGAGGCACGACAATGTGAGACGTCTGAGTTGAGGAGTACTGAAGATGTTAACCCGATGCTCACGATCGCTCTGTCCGCCAGGTGGTTTGAGTGTTATGGATTGCAAGAGAGGGAAACTATTTGCGTCATCGCCAACGGGGAGGTATTTGTAGCACGGGGATGGAAGGCGAATGTCTAGGTTGCACCAGCGGGTTGAGTGCTTGTTGATGGTCCCCAGAATTCCCTCAAAGGTCGCCCCTACCCATGACATGTCCGCCAACGACGACAGGTGGATGGAGAGCGGGAGGTGACCAGAACGTGAGAGCCACTGCTCTATCAGAGGTATTTGAACCGAGACCTTGAGCATCGAGGTAAGATGGAGTGAAAGGTTAGTCCACAGAGCGGGTGTGCCCCAAGCAATGTCGCGCCACGAGCTACACACCGCTCCAAGTAGCAGAGGTGCGTAGGTTTCTTTTGTGCTGGGAATATCATCGCCAACAGGAAATTGGGGGAGGTAAAAGGCGAAGATCACAGAGACGATTTCGGGGGGAAGAAGACGAACAAAGGGGCTGTAGAGCTCGTTCATGCGTGCTTTGATAATGTGGACTTTCTGGACGAGGCCTGCTAGAGTAGCAGAAACCGACGCGACCTCGGCCTCAACGATTGTGAGTTCCGCGCATGGATCCTCGGTACTTTGTAGGTCGACAGCCGTCGTTTTTATGTCCATAGAAGTTATACCATCGTAGTTGATTCCTCCGACATTCTCTTCAGAGATGGAAGGCATTATTGGGTCAACCGTCAGATCGACTCGATCGAGAGTTTGGATCTACCGCAGGACAACTTGTCAGCGAGAGTACGTATTGAGTAGTACAATCAGATCTACTCAGATGTGTAGATGCACGATCCTCTTCGGACGGGCGTCTAGTTACCAGATCGTGGTCGTTGTCGTGAACCTCGATGTAGTCACTGGATTAAACGTTGACGGTAGGTTTTAAATTCTCACGGAAGTCGGGCCGGCTACCCACGAGGCAACGATGTCAGTTTCTTGAATGAGCTCGTCTCAACGGTGTGGAAGCAAACGACAAGCGGAAATCCGGAAAAAATGTAATTCGATTTCAGTTTCCGTATGTTCCGGTCTATTTCTGGTAATAGTACAAAAGAGTGGTGTAATGCAACGAAATATATAATTTAAAATGAGCAAAAGCAAACGATTGTGGATTGGGAAATGCTCAACAAAATGGCCCCGAATGGAAGAAATGCGAAAGTAATACATAACATAACGATGCCGTTGGATGTTTGATATCATGAACCATGCTGGTGATTGAGTGTATAATGCTGATGATGCTTGTTGTAAATGTGCATATGAGAAGAAAACTTGAAGAAATGAACGTTTGGTTTTTGGAAGTGAATGTGAAATCTATAAGAATTCGCGCATCCGACTCAGTTCACGCCCGGGGAGAGCCTAAATCGTCCCGGAAGAAACCAATGGCGGGTAGAGCGAAGTTGATGCTGCTGCTGGTGAGATGGAGCGCCGGCAGCAAAATCGGCGCGTCCGGCACTGTCTTGGTGAAGATAAATTCCTCCCTTTGTCGGCTTCGCCACTTGCGCTGCATGCCAGGCAGCCTGCTGAGATGTCGGAGAAGGCGTTTGACGGCCCGGAAAGGGTGAATAAGATGGTTCAGCTGAAGAGCGTCCGTTTGAAATCGACGAAGCTGGTGGAGCCGGTGTAGGCGACGGTGATGGTGACCGAGGGAACAGCTTGATGGCGAGGCGACCGAGCGTCGAGGACTTGCTGTTGCGGCTATTGGGGGAGGCGAGAGTGATCGTGGGGGTTGTGACGGTGCCGCGTCGTCTTTGGGCAGCGACGGAGTTGGAGAGCCTTGAATTGGGATGAATGTCGGTTATTGCAGAAGATACGGAGGAAGAAAGCTGACATTGTTGAGGTTGGAGGGACTTCACCTGAGCAGGGTATGAAGTCCAGTGAACGTCGTCGACGTTGAATTCTGGGGAGGGCGTTCTGGATCGTGAAAACCGCAGATCCTCGCCTGCGATGGAGCTTGAGGCTGACGAATCAGAGTAGGTGGACGGAGAAGACATCTGCGTCGCTGACGAAGGTGTCCACATCGAAGGAGAGGTCATCTCCTTGTCTTCGCCGACGGCAGTAATCGCCGAGGCGGGCATAACCACCACTGACTTGGGAGAGATGGGGCTATTGATGAGAAACATAGAAGAATAAGGGTCATATTCGATAGCAGTGTGCATTATCGAGGTGTCGGGAGAAAAAGAGGTCATGCTGGAGTTTGCATCGTAAATACGGGGTCGAGGGAGGTTGGTGTTGATCATGAGTGCAGAGCGTGGCTCGGGCTTGACAACCCTGGCGCCAAAGGTTGTGTCGAAACTCTCAGGCGTATTCGGCAACGAAGTTTCTGCAGTCTGGGCAGAAGAGGACGACCGCGATCGGTCCATGAAATCCATGCGGAAATCATGCTCGGGCTCGTAGTCCGAATCTGAGGAGGACCATTGCGCAGCGCAAGAGGAGTATGTCACCCAGCGAGCACCATACGACGATTGCTGAGCCAGAGATGGAGTAGCGAAGACGATATCCGAAGTCGATTCCTTGCTCCAGCGAGAGGTGAGAGCCGCGTTGTGCTGCTCGGGGATGGGGGATTGAGGAGGAGGTGAGCGGGGGCCGACATCTTCGGGGTTGCTGTCGGACGACGAGCTGTCGATGTCCATTCCAGACTCCCAGGGGCAGCGGGCCATGCTACCCTCAAAGACGACACCGTCTGAGTAGAAGCTGGTGACCTCCTCGATAGCATAGCGAACCTCGCGAAGGTTCATGCGTTCACGCCAGTCGACTTCGAGCATCCGGACGAGGATTTCGTTGATCTCAGGAGAAATAGGGAGAACCGTGGGCAGGAAACCCATGGGATCGCGCAAATAGGCTTGGAAGGTGGGATCGCCTGGAGTCGCAGACTTCCAGGGGTTGCGACCAGTCGCGAGATTGAGTAGAATGATCCCAAGAGACCAGATATCATTGAACATGGGAGAATAATTTCCTGTAGGAGCGAACTCTCCACCTTGGCACTCTGAAAAAAATCGTGAGCCATCTGCGAGCGTCAATTCAAGATGTAAAAGGGCGCTTACCTGGGCTCATATGGTAGACACTACCAGTGCGAAATTCATCGCTGTATTTGTCAGTGGTGGCAAGTCCAAAGTCGGTGATGGCGACCCTAAGGCCGTCATCGAAGCAGAGAATATTCTCCGGCTTCAAGTCTCGGTGATAAATACCGAGAGAGTGGCAGTATTCGACTGCGTCGATCAGCTGGAGGAAGACGTCTTTGATAAGCGCATCATCCCCAAGATAGCGGCAGCTATGCAGAATCTGGGTGAACAGATCGTGGTCCGGTGCGTAGTCCATGACGATGTAAGTGTGGCTGCCTTGCTCCACGACACGATGGAGGGTGACCACGCCGGGGTGAGCAGAGGCGAGCTGGTGCAGAGCGATTTCGCGGATGTGGATTTGCCGCTGACGGGGGGTTTGGTGTCCTGATGCGACGAGGCACTTGACTGCGTAGGATTTCTCCGTGGAATGGCGACGGTCAACCGCGCGATATACGACGCCATAGCCCCCGACACCCAGAACTTCGACGAGTTCCAGGGAGCCTCCATCTATGAGTGTTCCGACTGGTGGGTGGACCGGGGAGGTGACTGGGGGAGAGGTCTTCGAAGACATCGGGGGGTGGGCTTAGAGTCGCGAAAGAAATAGAGGAGAGGAAGAGAAA